AGTTGCCGCCATGTGATTGGCTGCTTAGAAATTAAGTGTTAACGAGCAGTTGGACAGGTGTACCTAATAAAGTGGCCGGTGAGTGTATATATTTTTAAATATTATTACTGTGGACTCCTGGTCGGCAGGGGCCGCTATGCTGCGTCACTGCCAGTGTTCATTTTGCTTGGAGCTCCAGTTTCCGCTTGTTATGAAGGCGAAGGTTAGTTAGCAGGCGGCTAAATATCTGGTTTGCTGACATTGGACGAAGAATTAACTGTTTATTGCGGCCACTTTTCTGAATTACCAAAGGTAAGAAAATGCTATTATATTTGAGAATGTTGTCTTATTTTTTGCTGTAGCGAAACAGTTTGACTTTGTTTGCTGGAGCTGTGAAGATCGGAGATGTTATAATTTTCCAGTAGTTTGGAGTCGTAGATGTGTGATTTGAAGGCTTTTTGTCACAATAAACCACCTGAGTTTAGACACATTGCTTTAATTCACACAATAAGGGGTCATAGCAGCTTTTCAAAGTGCTTGACTTCATTTTATGTCCAATCTTCTTCTTTCCCCCTTAAGTTGTGTTCAAATCAAGCTAATTAAATATCCTCATGATGCCTAAATTTCTTTAAATTACTGAAATATTCTTTATGTATGGATGGATATTAAACATTTAAATTTTGTTATTTGCATAATGTTAAAAGATCTGAACTATTTTAGCTATACATCAATACAGACTAAAACCTGTTACCAAAACTTATTTGACATTTGTTAATCATCTTTATTTCACTTTTTTTCTTATTACCTTAAATGATTTCATTCTTTTAGTCTAAATTGTATACTTTAATAGAATGTGATTCCTCCAATTGACCTCATTTGATTAAATTATTGAAGTGATGTTAAAAAAAAAAAAACTTTAAAGGTGTAAACTTGCTGTGAATATTTTAAATATAGCAGTAGAGGAAACTTTAACCCTTTAATAATCATCCATCTGCTGAAGCTGATCTGTCTTCTGTTTTCCTCCAGGCTCCTCATCATGGTGACGGGAAAACGTCTGGCTGATATCGGCTATCGGGCCTTTTCTGCCTCGATGATGCTGCTGACGGCTTACGGCGGTTACCTCTGTGCGATGCGAGGATACCGGTACTTTGAAAAGCAGAAACAGCTGAAACTGGCAGCAGAGAACCAGGACCCTGAAATCATCAAAGACTGACGTCACCATGGCTGCAGCGGACATTTCCCATTCCTGTTTTCTGTCTCTGAATGGCAGAGATGGATTCCTCTGTGATTGTTCTGTATTTCCATGAGGTCACCTCATGAGGATTATTTGTTTTATAACATTTAACCAAACAATCTGTTAGGTAACATGTGCATCGGTGGCCTGTCTCATATCTGCTGTGTTTCAGGATGCCTGTTTTGGTTTGTATTATAATAAAATGCCTTGAATGAAAACGTGCAGCAATTTGTCACAGAGGTGCAGAAAGAGACATTTTCAAACAGGATGTATTTGAAAAGACATTTGCACAATGGATTGAAGAACAAATCATTCCTTGAACTCTTCAGGCAGTGACAAACAATTAAAAACACATTTGGTCATGGAGGAAGTAGTAAAAACAGTAAAAGTTACAAAGTAGACAATGTGTTTTCAGAGTTCATTCACAGCATTCTGCAGCACTGCAAATGTAATGCTTCTCTCATGCAGCAGCTGTTGTTTCTTATAGCCCATAGGAGCCCAGCTGTAACTCATTTTCATCTTAGGATGACTGATATTTGCTGGGGAATGTTTACTCCGTGCAAACTGTTGTGAACAAACCCTTCAAGACAAAATAAAAAGTTCATCTGACCAATAAAACTGGGAGAGAACATTTAAAACGACCAATCTCTGCAAACTCAGTCTCACTGCCTGGAGAAATAAGAGCTTGATTCGATTTTTGCACGTCGTCTGTAGAGAACCGCGTCTTCACGCAGCTCTCTACAGCCAACGCAGTCAGTGTCCGCACATCCATCCTGTTCAGGAGCATGAATCGGTGCGTGCACGCTGTCAGTGTAAATATACGTGGATGTGGGAGAGCCTTGCAGGCCAGGCGGACAAAGCTCTTGGAGATGCTGTGAAGGAATGAGCTGCAGGGGGCGCTCCCAGCTCCTCGTCACCAGCTGGTGTGGTTGTGCGTTCGAGGTTTTGCTGTGGCGCAGTGGCCGTTGGTGCCGTTTTCTCCCTTGCTGTTGTGAGCAGAGCGCTTGTGGCCTTCAGTGTTGTCAGTTTCTTCATCTGAGCTGCTCTCGATGTCGCTACGAACATCATTACCCACCTTAGGGGGGAGAAGGAAGAACAATTTATTAACTAAATTAAAATAAAAAATGGAAAAGTTATCAATACAATGTCATTTATTTTGCTGGCAGCAATATGAATTTATGAGTTGCTTTGTTGGATTCTAGCTTCTAAAGTTGTAAAAGATCAGAGACTGAAAGGTGACTCATAACACATCACAGACAGCCTACCAGTGAAGCAACATGTAGACATATTCCTCAAAATTCAAACAAAAAGTGACAAGGTTTGATTTTAAGTTTTATTTTTCTCACCACTAGGGGGAGATGTTTGATCATTCTAACACCATTGTGACTAATTAAAAACAGTTGGACATAGCTGACATTCATGACACCATTAGCACTTAGCTCATCATTTACTGCTCTCCTCCGTCCACAAACAGACGTCTGATGAAGGAAAATGCACTAATTAAGGTTTAAGGAGCGCAGGGAAAGTGAATGGAAACTTACAGCCCAGCACAGAGAGATGGTAAGAGCTGTCAAGCAGACAGAGCAGATTCAGAGAAGCAAGAGAGCAGCGGAGGGGGGGCTCATTGGACAAAGACAGAGAGAAAGACGAGATCTCCCTCTGATTCTGGAGGGGGGAGGAAATAAACTGCGTCTGCAGGGAGAACGAGACAGAGTCAGGAGCAGAAAGGAAATCTGGAAGGAAATCAAAGATAGGAGCTTAGTATAGTAGTAAATAGTACAGCTTTCAGTAGCAAAAGTCAGAAGGGTGACTGGAAGAAGGACTTTTATCAGTTTGGAGTTAAAAATCATCTACTGTGATGAAGAGACGACTTTGAAATGAAAACTCGTGTCAAACAGTGAGGTGAACCTGACGGTCAGAATATACATCAACATTAGGGGCAGCAGTTCTATCATTCAGCCTGTTAGGTGACGTCTTCCTGTAGGACAGCGGTCACCAATTAAAAATCAGCAGGGTCCAAATAAAGAAAATCATCAACCAATAAATATCCGCAGACATTTTTAATTATAATCTGTTACTTTAAACAGCATTTAACACTGAAAATAAAATGAGATGTTTATGCATCTTTGTTATACATTGACTTTTTAAATAAAGCTATAAAAAAAGAACATTAAAATCTAGTGTTTTTAAGCAGAGAACAACATTTACGTATTTTATAAAACACCTGAACTGTTATTCATTTCTTTCTTTTCTATGGCTTAATGTTCACATTGGGCTTTATGCTGCCCTGCAAGGCTTTAAACCTGGTTTGAATGGAGACAAAGTCATTCTCAAGCACATATCAAGAAGCTCATTTTGAGCCTGGATCCAGATTTATTGTTGATTCTGTTCATGGTGGAGAATCCTGCTTTACAGCAGCAGGTTGAGCCAAACATACTCTAAATGTGCAGGGTCATCTTTGAGCACGATATTTCACTTTTCTTTAACTAGTTCACCGCAGTTCTTCCAGCAGTCCACACTTTCTCTGCTCTCTTCTTCTCATCATCTTCTCCTTCTTTCCCATCGCCTGGTTCGCCACAGGTTTGCCTGCTGTGTCTAAAAGTAGCAGCAGCAGCAACCCAGACTGACAGCAGCTCATTGGCTAATGTGGATCACATGCAGCCTGGTCCTTTACCATATTAACAGGAGAAGCGGCGCAAGTGAAATTAGACACATTTATAAATGACCACGCAACATGCGGGAATTTATAAATGTTTTAAATCAGGTTGGGTCCAGATCCGGACCGCGGTCCGCTAATCCGTGACCTCTGCTGTAGGGAATCCCCACACTGGGGCCAAGATGTTGAAGGCCACAGAGGAAAGCAGCAGGACGGGGAATTCATCACAGCTATAATTATATAGGAATCCATGATTTCTCTAATAAAATCCAAGCAGCAGTGCAGAGGATCCATTTTATTTACATCTTCCACACTATGAATATATTTATTGCACTATGAAAAAACAAAAAACAAAGTTTGCTTTAATCCAGACTGACTCCTCACTCTGTTTAGGTTTTGTTTCGTTCTCCAAATTTTTCGGAAGTTTTAAACTTTTCTCTGCAGTCCTCTTACCAGGAAACTATTCATTTAAACTATTTGTTTAAAAAAAAAAAGCAGTAAAAACCAATGTTTCTATTATTCAGCCATAAAGAGCTGTGGATCAATATACTTTGCTAATTTAAGCGAACACTTTGCTCTTTTGTTCCTTCAAGTTTCCATTTCATATCCCTAATAAAAAAAACTCGGACCCTTGAACTAAAATTTTCATATCTTCTGTTTCGTTCTGAGGATACATATTTATTTTTTGTAATAATGTAGATAAAAAATCCAAAAAATCCAAATATAACCAAATTTAATGTACTGGAGCAGACTGCTCCATTTTGTGCACCAATCATTTGGGTTGGTCAACTAAATAATGGAAAGAGAAAGAACAGCTTCTACAGAGAGAGAGAGACTAACAAGTATGAGACTAAATGATTCAACATTCAGGGGCTTAAAAAATTAATATAATAAAACACAAACTTTTTTAGGCTTTCTTCGACTCACTGGAGGCAAAATGTAAGGAAACATTGAAGCCTTTCAAACATTTTAAGTCCAATAGAAGTTTTCAAACCCCCTTTGTGATAAATGGCTGTTTCAGTTTAAATCAGATGTGGAAATATTTTGATGAATTTGTGTGAAATAGCTCAGCGATGCTCTACAGAGTCCTGTAAGGCTCAACTCTGACTCCAAAACTTCAAATGTGATCATTTAAAACTGTCATATTTGTGTTTTCCCTTTATTTTCTTTATTCTCCCTCTTTCTCACCTCTACTAAGGCCCCGTCCACACGAAGTCAAAACGAACACGAAACGCTGATATTTTCCAAAACGTTTGTCGTAAAGACGGAGACGTAAAATAAATGTGAGCGTCCACACGAATGCATGAAAACACTGCAAAATGTATGCCAGGCCTGTAAGTGGCGCTGTGGTGCCAAAGCAAAAATAAGCGACGAAATGTTGGGCATGCGCACTAATATTTATACATGGTTGCCCTGCGGGTCCATTTTCGTGGTTAAGTCAAATTCAGGTGCTGAACTATGTGGTCGATATTGCTCTGTTCTTCCTGGAGATATTCCAGAAGAAGAAGATTCTGTTGTAAGCCCGACAGCAGGGTGAGTAGCATTAGCAGCAACGGCGCCATTGTTGTTGTGATACTGTCCCGCATGCGTGTTTAGAGGCGACGCTATGACGCATGCGTGTAAAAAAAAATATGCGGTTAGAGCGTAAAGATGGAAACGCGAAAACGCCGTTTCGAAATCTTCCCACTCTGAAGGCTGAATAAAAAAAAGATCGTTTACAGACCCCCGAAACGCCGGCTTCGTATGGATGAGAGGCTGGTTTGGTGAAAAATGTGTGCGTTTAGGCCAGGGTTCGGCTTCGTGTGGATGGGGCCTAAGTAGGCTGCATGGTCCTGTGGAAAGACCCGCCTACTTCCTGGTTTCTGACTTAAAACCCATCCATTGGTTCCCTCAGTTCCACCTTCAACCAATGGCTCATCACCACCTGCAATCACCTCCTGCTCATAAGGAAACCTCACCTGTTGATTGAGGCAGCTTGTCACAGCCAGTTGACTCGTGTGCCTCGTGTGAACCAAACATTGCTGTTTAGCAGCTGCTTGTTTAGTGGAGTAGCTCTCTTATCTTTTTGGTTACCCATTTGGGGTTTGTGCTACTTAGGTTGTGTCAAGTATTTTGTTCTGTTTGGCTAATGTGCAAACTTTACTAGCTTGATGCTAGAAAGAGGGTGGAGGTAGGGCCAGAGTCTGGACTGAATGCATCACTGAGTTTTTCTCTTTGTTAGTTACATTAGGTGTAGTGGGTGCTGTGCTCTGTGTTTTTTAGTAAGAATCCCCTTTTGGTTTAAATCTGTAGTTAGGTACAATCCTCCTTTTGAGGATATCTTTTATTTATTTAACTTTGTTTTTTTCACAGCACCCTCAACCGCCCTCCTTTTGTTTGTTTATTGCTTGCACCTCTTGTTATCAAATAAATAATAATTTTATAAGAACTTACCGGTTTCTGCCTATATGTTTATGCCCCCACTTCCCTAGACATACAGGGAGCCGTAACATTTGTTTTTTTTTGTTTGTTTTATCAAAAAGATGGTTTTACCAAACACATAATTCACTCAGAAAAATTCCTGATGCATGATGTGGAACGATTTGGAAGAAGTCACAGCAGTTAAACAAACCACATACAAAAATTAGGATATAATAAATATTCAGGTTTTGTAAATATAAATCTTTATACATTCCTCTGTTTAGTTGATTTTAACCTGAACAGCCTGTTTTAAAAATCCATCCACTGAAATACATTTAAAAAAAAAACAATCTTAAAAAGTTTTTCCTTCACTTTGAATCATTTGTTGTTTTTTTGTCTATTCAGGAAGAATTGAATTAAAGTTTCTCTCCTTTAAATAAGAGCTCCTAGTTTGCTAATTACCCATCAGTCTCCTAGTTTTGTCTGTTATTCTTGATCGTAGCTCCAGACTGTTTGGACCAATTCTGTTTAACAGAAATCCAACAAGCTTCTGGTTTTTCCTTCCTCTTCCACAACAAAAGCACATACAACTACTTTTTGCCTTTGCATGTGAAAAGATAAAATAAAAGCAACTCCAAGAGTATGAAGAGAACTCTCCCATAGTCCTCACCTTGCCTCGCATTATGGCTTTGTAAGCTATGCGGGATATGAGGTAAGACCAGAAGATGTGCATCACTTGGAGAATAAGCAGCAGGACGTTGAAGAGCCACCAGGATGGATACGGTCCGACGATGGCCCAGCTCTCAAACATAGTAGAGTTCAGGACCCTGCAAACACAGAATATAAGATCTCACACATTCAGAATCATTACACAGAGAAAAAAAAACACTTTTTAACTACAATGTGGCGTCTTTACTGGGATGTAAATTGTAATGTAATGTAAAAGGACGTGTTTCTTTAAACGTGGCTGAGTGACAGAAAGCTGTCAGCAGACTCATCTCCCCCCTGGAAAGGTTTAGATTTCATTCAGGCAGCTTCAGCAGCAACATTAGCCTTATCAATCACTCATTCACACCAAGACACTGAATATAGCTGCTCAGGTTACTTCTACCAATGACAGCTTCCCTATTGTCAGCCTCGCCGTGGAGGCAGAGCTGCAGCCTTTCGCTCTGTTGAGGAACTGGAATCATCAAAAACGGCCTCTGCAGCTAAAGGTCAACAGAGAAATGCAGCGATGCGCCGCACATGTCGACCTAAACTTTGGTTTCCTCTGAGCTATTTGAAGAGCAACATAAAGTCTGTTTTGGGTTTTGGGATCTTTGTATTTTCACAGCACCAACAGTTCAAACTAAACACAAAAAAGTGTTTTTATTCTTTCAAAAAACAAAAAAAAAAGGCGTTCAGCTTCAGTATTAGAGCTGAGAGGCTAGAAATACTCACCATATTGGAAATATAACAAGCCGTGTGATGTAGAATACCACACTGAACAGAATGAAGAGGAAGTCACACACCCGCTGGCTTTTCGCATAGTTCGCCATCTTTGCTGCCTGTTAAACAAAAACCAACAGATATCAAACTTTATGATAAGCTTGTGAGGAATGTTTGCTCCACATAGATTTCACAGAATAAAAAAAGAAAGAAAAAAGGCAACTGAGAGTAAACACAGAAACCCCTGACTGCGACGACTGGAGCTCTGTTCTCAATCATAACAATCCCCAATCATCTGCAGTAAAACTTCCAGCAGTCATCAATCTGATTTTAAAAAGTCTTTCATATAAAGTCTAAATAAAAACACGCCTGGTTTGGCTCACAGGAAATCTGTTATTTTCTGTTTTGTTTGTTTTTTTTTAGCTATTTTATAGAACTAACAGAATGAAAGCAAACAGAAAATGTCACTGATCTCCAGAATCTGAATGATTTAAAAGCAAAAAGTGTCTCATCCCCTTGGAGCAGGAACTCATTCACATGGAAAACAGCTTAATAAAGCATCCACTGCTTTCAGTTTCTTAACAACAAAAAGCAGCCATGTTTTTTTATTACATGTAATTTTGAAAGCCGTACATATAAATGACCCAGAAATGCTTAAAATAGCTGTTTATATTCGAGTCCACAGCTGTTAAATAAAGCAGAGCTGAGGCATGAATTCCTAACATCAGGGCCGTTTCTAGAACATCTAATCGTGCATGCTGGGACAGCTCTGACAAAGATGATTGTTTCTGTTCATTACTGACCTCAAGCAGGAAATCAGAGGCATCATGGACGCACAGCACGAGACTCCCCACCCGAGCCATGTTGTTGGCGTACGAAAAGCTAATGAGGCTCACTGTTGCTAGGTGATGAATGAACATGATGAGGAAGTCCTGGGAATGAAACAGGTAGGAGACGGTGATCAGACGGGCTTCAAAGTACAGCTGCAGAATCTTCAGTCTGAAAAGTCTTCAACCGGCTGACGTAAAAATCAGGTTCACACAGAAAACATGAAACAACTGAAGAAAAGATGCAGAATTACTGAGGAAGAAGAAACTAAATTGGAGCATTGCTGAGTGACTGTCTGACCTCAGAACAGGTGTGAAGCAAAGAGGAGGATGTGTTATGGGCGGGGAACAAAAGACCCAGAATTAGCTCTTGACTTTAATTATTCTGCGTCAGACGACAGCTTAAAAAAACTTCATTTCTAAAAAAGACTTTACAGCTAAAACGAAGACTAAAGTTGGCTGATATCTGGGGAAGAAAAATGAAAACAACTATTTCAAAATCTTCATGTATTTTGTAAAGTGGTTAAAATTGTTCTAGTGGTTGAACACGACTAAACTTTTAATGGTGTTAATTACAGGGTCTCTAATTAACTGATCTCAATAGCATTTTAATTAAAAAACATTGATAAAATAAACCATCTTTTCAATTCAAAAAAACATTTTCTCCTCAGTTTTTGAATAAATAATTCTACGCGTATGGCATGGTTGTACTTATTGATTTTACTGTGTTTTTGTTGTAATAAAGGGATTATAAACTTAATATAATGTATTTGTTTATGTGATTGTATTTGAGTTTTGGATATTGTTTACATATTCTGTATTGTAGTGCATGAAGGATTGAAATTACTACTGTGAGCTTTGTGGTTAATTAGTTTGGTTATTATGAAATTGAGTTTTGTCACCAGCCTTTTTCTTTATTTCATACCTGTCTGAAATAAATAAATGTAAAGGAATAAAAAGAAACATATTTACTGTTTTTTTATCTAAATATAAGGGTATTCTCGTATGAATGGGTTGAAAGTTATAAGATTTTTATCTTTTTTTTGTGCAACGTCTTTTAAAAACTACTTCCAAAGAAATGTGAACAGTACATTTTCCTCCACTGAATATGATACAAAAATATATTCAGCAACAAGGCATACGATACTGCCTGTAAACAGAAGATAAAGTTTCATTTAATACTGACAGAACTATGACACTTCAGCTCTTAACAATTGCTATTCAACATGGAGCATTTAGTCTAATTAAAACAATTACCTACTAGGCTACAGTTTCTCGTTAAGCCAGTTAGTAACATAAATAATTCATATTCCTGGTCCGAGTTCCTTCCTAACCGCCAGCACCATTCAGACGGCACTTATTACGGTGACCCTCGAGGCATTTTCTCCAATTAGAGGTATGTAAGTTTGAAGCTCTCCAATGGACCAACGCCTGTGAGGCAGTTTGTGTGTCAGACTTAAAAGGTGTACAAGAAACAAAGTAAAAAGGTTCCAACTTGGGATTTTCCTATGTATATAAGAATAAGAAGTAAATGCAAAACATTTAACACGTAAAAAATGTTTCTAATTAATTAATTAAAATGGATACGTTAAAGTCCCAGCTATAATAAATGTTCTTAATCATAATTACATCACAAGATGGAGGGTAAGAATAAATGTTTTTTTTTTTTTTTTGTATTCAGAGTCCTGCAGGGAAAAATAGGCGGTACAGGCCAGATTGTAACACTGCAGGATTCCCAGAGGCAGTGAGTTAAGATCAGGGCTAAAACAACGACATGCATCCAGCATCCAGCTGACTGATCCTGCAAAAAACTAAGAACATCTAGACCTAGAATGCTGCTCCACAGAGAACAACATAAAGTTAGTTATACCCCAATCATTTTGCATGATTTTGCTCATTTTAATCAAAAATATTTCTGCATTACATTTATGATCAGGGTTCCTACAGCATGAGGCAAGTTAAATTCAAGACTTTTTAAGACTTTTTAATGCCACTTGAAACAAAAATTTAAGACCAAATTTACAAGAAACAGAAGAAAAACCTGCTTGCAGCAACTTAACCCAAAGGTTTATTTTAAGGTAAACCATTGCACTAATGTTTCAAATTTTGAAAACATTTCCATACAGGAAGAAAGCTAAAAACACACAAATGACAGCTTTATTTTAAAAATTATTTAACAGAATTCACAAACTTTGTTTTAGCAGGGAACAAAACTAATCAGTTTTAAAGCCACAACATAACCAGTGCTAAGTCTTTTTTGCAGCTATTTTTCTTTGTATCGTTTTCTTAGTATGTTTGATTTGGTGATAAGTGGAGGCGTTGCAGAGACAAGGGTGGAACAAAGTCGAGAAATAGCGGCTGTTTCTCTGTAACTCCATTTTGACGCTTTGTGTTCGCGCTTCGCCTGTGCGAGTCCACTGACTTAATTCCCATCGTTCCAAGCTTTAATCGCTT